GGTTAAACCAAGATGAGTTAACTTAACAGGAAAATACTAGAAGGAAGATCACATCCTCTTTGATTTTCTGTTTGGAAGGAGGGTGGGTGCTACAAAGGTCTTTGATTGTGCGTTTAGATAAAAAAAAAATGTATGATGAGCTTCTTCTTTGATAGAATGGGGAATTAGTGGTGATCCACATTTTTCGAACAAGTTTGAAACTCATTCACAGGTTCTTGAGACAGGTTTCACACACAGTGCTGAGCAAAAAGTTGGGATACTATCACTGAAGTGATGAACTGTTAAAGACATGGGGTTCGGATTCACCAGTGTTTATAACCTGTGGTGTCAGACCTTGCTACAGTAGGATTATTTGCTGTTCGGTCCAACGCTGTGGAAACCCTCTGTACTGCTCCATGTTCCCGGTGCCATGCGCTGTTCTCCTATTATCTCCCTTTAAGTTTAGTCGTTGATTGATCATTATTATAGAAACCTCATCATGGCTCCATCCGAGAACCATAACTGCATTTTGGTCCTAAAAACTCCACTTGAAATAAAAAAAACACAAAGTAAAATCCGTCATTGTCTGGGGAAATGAACGCATTTGCCCTGCGTTCATAGCTATGAATAAACCACACATAATCTGATTGTGATGTGCATCATATGAGCTGTTTAAGTGTTGATCCTTTGATTAGCTGTGTGTGCTTTCAACATTATCGCCATGATCTGGGCTTTCTTTTCAGTAGCTGAGTCACACAGGAGGAGAAATAGTCAAAAGGCAGATCCAATGCAGTTAATTTAGTACATATAATCAGACAAGTATAACACGTTGGAACTGTTAGCAGCCTCAATCCTGGTCTCAGTCTGTTAGAGCTTGAAAAAAAGAAGCACAGTCTGTAGATCCTCAGGGTAGATACTGGAGACTTAATACAGTGCCCGTGTGTGCATATGCAGATCTTTTAAGGCAGGTCTGATGGTAGCAGGTGGAAACCCCAGGAATCTGTAATAGGACAGTCCTGATGAATCTGTCGCCTGACAGCCTGCAGTGTTTTCCTCGCTAAGAAGCCAAAAACAGTGGGAAGTCAATGAGTTTTAAATCACATATGCAACCTTTATACACCCTGCACCCTTGCAATCTTTCATAATATAGTATCATAATATAGTAATTAAAAGTGGTTTGCTGGATGTAACTCAGAAGCCTAATTCATCATTCTTTCAACTTTTACAAAATGGCTTTTGTTTTTTTACTTAATCATGTAGTCATTTATTCCGTATTAAACACAGCCAATCAAAGTAATGTGTTGTAACAATGGTTTCAACATTGACTGTAACACCAAAAATAAAAGACATTAGAATATCTATGACCCTTCTAATATTTCTGAGAACTTTATATATATTTGTGTTCCTCAAGCATATTCAAACTCACACGGAAAGAAAAAGACAATTAGAAGAATTTTATTGATACAATTATTTTAAGACTTTGGCGCTCAGTCCTCAGCAGGAAACATTAGTGCTGAATTTTACTTTAATATGCATAAGCATAAACCCTGTTCTCAGGTGTATAAGAACAGGGATCCAGTGGACTGTGTGAGCTGATACTAGTGCTTCACTTGGGACCCAGAAGATGGCTGTCCAGCTTGGATAAACACAGGTTTGCATGAACCTGTCCATGATGAGCAAGCATGAAGGGACTGTGGAGAGGAAAAACTCCCCTTTGGGAAGAAACTTCTGGCAGAACCAGGCTCAACATAGCATTCTTGTGTCGGACCAGTTGAGATGTGACAGGGAATTAAGTAAGAGTCCAGGCGGAATTACACTGATAGGGACGAGGTTGAAGGAGCACCATGGAAAAGCCAGATGGAGCTTAGCTACGATTGTGGAGAAGGGGATGGAGGTGGGTTGAATCAGGGTAATCTAAGTCAAAATAAGACATAGCACAACCACTGCTTGTGCTTGGCTGGATCGTGGATTTGAAGACCTTTTAAGATTAACCCTGATTGCTGATTGGCCGTTTAGAGCTGATTGGCTTGCATCAGAAGCAGGTTAGCCTCTGATGATGAGGGCAATTAAGTTTCTTCAGTGGAACTTCCACCTATGCTTCATTTAAAACTTCAGAGGCTTGTAAAACTACTAAATGATATTTAAAAAATTTCTACAACTTTCAATGAAAGTTGAAAATTGTGGCTGGCAGGACTGTTCTACTTTCAGTTTAATACACCTAAATAAATTTAAATCCATCAATATGCCTTTAAAAGTCATCTAATCAGTGAATACATTTATTTATTAATTTAATCTCAGTAAAAATACAGTTCAAGAGAACCACAGTTTGAAACAGGGTAGAATTATAAAACAATATCAAACAGCTGAAAGGATCTCACAGTATTCATCTCATTATCTAACTATGGAAATAATAATATGCAATTTCAAACCTATCATGACATGTCTGTTTAGAAAGCAGGACACAAGGACACAGTATTCAGGCCAGACACAAAGTGGGATAATTCGAAAGCGTAAAAAGAAAAAAAAAAAGATTGGAGATGTGGATCTGCAGAGGCTGCGTTTTTTGCAAGGCACCGCCCATCACTGGAAACTCTGGTTGGAGAAAAACACAGGCAAGTGACAATGATAATCTGATGAAGGAGGATTATCCATGTGAGTCACATACCTGGTTTGATAGTTAAGTCCACCTCCATAGAACACCGTAGGATCCAGCCGGAGGGCTGCCAATTAGATGCAGCAGGCACCACCCAGAGTGAACTAGATGCTGCAGTCCCAGAGGGCCAGCGTGAGTCCGATCCAGGTTAGAGAAACAGATCAGAACAGGAAGGCTCAGCGATCCAGGAGTCTGTAGCCTGGTCAGGGGTTCCAATCAGGAACAGGCTGGTTCAGGGTTCCAGGAGTCCAACAAAGAGTTCAGGCAGAATGTTCACATGGGAACAGGCAAGCCCAGTGGTTGAGAGGCAGAAAAGGGCAGGGTATCAGGAACTATGTTATGCTAAAAACTAGCTCTCTCCACTAGCCAAGACAGGAACAGGGCATGCTCAATGGATAAGAGACAGGACATCATCAGGAAAACAGAAACACTACGAAACACTAAAAAACTCTCTCTCACCACTAGCTCCTGTGAACGAAAACATAAAATATGGCATCAGCAATGATCTCAAACTCAAACTCAGTGATCTGGCCATGATAGCTGACTGAGCCATATATAAAGAAGCAGAAGCAGGTGGATGAGATGAGTATTGGAACCCGGACAGAGTTAGGCAGGTGAATGAAAGGAGCAATTAGGCCAATCCTCAGAGCGATGATCATGACCATGTATGTATGCCTTTACTAAGAAGCAAGAACTAGCCTGGGGAGAAAAGAAACAAGAAGACCAGTTGCCACCTGTTTGGGAGCGGCAAATAGCCAAATGTATGGAAGAAAGTTAAAACTGGACATTACTGTAATCCCAAAATACCCTCAATAAAAAATTTATGCAACAGTATAATTCTGCAGGATTTCTATTTCTACTGCAGAGAGGAATGCAAGTCAGAGCAGATAAGACAGTGGATGTGCTAAATACATTTCTGTCCTACAAGAAGAGTTGACTGACTCATTAAATAATTTATTGAACTGTCATTTTTTTTACAACATACTCAAAAGACTTTCAGCTATAATTTCTGCAAAAGATGGTACTCATTATTGATTACCTAGAGGACTCAATACAAATATGTCACATTTACAGGTAACAGTTTTTTCACAGTGAAGCTTGGAAAATTTGGATTATCCTTCCTTTGTACAACTATGCATTACTCTCTGTGGTCAAATACATAAAGTTATGATTAAATACATTTAAGTGAATGAATTGTTTTATATTACATTTTATTAATCCTGGAAAACTAGGGAAATAAACACCATATAAATATCTTGATTATTTCACACGAAGCAAATTCAGCATCTATTGATAAACTGGATATTTCTGAATTGTCTTTTAATCTGGACTCTAGATTTGGATTTCTTTTTTCAAATATGCATGTAACAGATCATTTAATCCCATTGGATCCACTGTACTGCAGAACATTAAGATAAAACTATTTAGAAGCATAGATTAAAACAAAGCACTTCTGCTTTGTCAAATGCGGCTGCTCTATTATGCATTGCTTTACAATAATAGGCTTAAAAGAAAAGCAGCAACGTTTCTTTGAGTTTCTTGTCGTTCAAACATGTCCTTCTGTGGAAATGAGTAAGCGACAACCTTTGTTTTCCCACTCATCATAACCAAGTGAAATTCAAGTTTAGCCAACATACTAAAGATTTCTTTACATTACTGTTTTGTTCTTTGTTTTTTGCTACAGGAAGGAAAACCGATTATTATTATCAGTTCGTTCATGATTGAACAAAGAGATCTTTAAACTGAGAAATAGAATAATATTTTTATTTCTCCACAAGACAAAAACAACTTCTCTACCTTTGGCAGAAACTTTTACACACTCAAAGAGGGTGACATATTAACCCTGTTATAAAATCTTGTATTAGTTCCTCAAATTTCAAACTTCAGAAGAAAACAGGCTTACAGAGATTCATCTTTTTGTGTGAATAAATGTCAAATGAGAGGATGCTATTAACTGTCATGTCTGTATGTGGATGTTCATTTAGTTTCATAGCGGATATATGAACAACTAGCCCAAATTCATGCATGTTAAAACTAAAAAGTTTAAGACAACAACACACTTGCTTACACTGTTTATACAGGTATTTCCTCTGGATTTCAAGTGTTTCTGAAGTCCTAATCTCACCAGATATTTGTCTCTCTCAAGGTGCATCAGAAATAAGTAAAGCCTTTAAGCAGGAGTGGTGATTATTTAGGATCTTCATTTGAATTTAAAGTTGTCAATGATTACAACCTGTCTGCACAGCTTAAGGATTAGAGTATTTTTTATTTAAATCCAAATGTGGAGAGGATTTAGAGAAATCTTTAGAATAGTGTAGTAGTGTGCTGCTATGCTTTGATAAGCTTCAATATTCTTTCTCTGTTCCAGACTTTTCGATGGCCCATTGCCAGCAGACTTGATGAAAATGAAATGTTGGAGATCCAAGTCTATAATTATAGCAAAGTCTTCTCAAATAGGTAAGTAACAGGATCCTACATTTTTATTTAACCTCTATTGAGTGTTGCACAGATTCCATTTTTTGGCCCCGATACCTGGCTGTGCAGTATTGGTCGATACCGATATCCATGATGTGTGTCTGTGTATATACGAAGAACTGGATACTACTTGGATGTAACATAATTGCCATTTTGGCTTTGTGAAGCTGCTGCCCACCTTTGTGAAGCAGGAAAAGACTGATACAAAGTCAAGCCAGTAAAACTTTTTATTGCATACCTGGAGTAGGTGACAATAGTTGAATAAACTTTTGGCTCTCAAAATGGTATCAGTGCCCTATTTGTTGGTACTCGCCGATACCGATACCACCATTTTGTCATGATGGGTTTTCTCTAAGTCAAGCCCAAGATGCAGAACACACACGGGAGAACTGGGTAAAAGTCCAAAAGAGTTTATTTAGAACACAAGACCATGAATACTGGAACTGATTCAGGCAGGGGGGCTGGTTCACTGGGGTCTGAGCTGGAAAAGGGAGATGGTAGGTAACAGAGTTCATGTGAGGCTAAGCACAGCTAGCTTAGGGTTAGAATGGCAGTCCTGGGTTGGAGCTTCCAGCTCACTGCAGGGGAAAACACGGAGAGTCTTTCAGGCTGAGCTTCCAGCTCACCGTAGGGAACAACAGGGGAAATCCACGTAGGAATCCTTGGGTTGGCTCACCAGGGCAGATTAGCAGGTTCACTTTCCTAGAGCGTCAGGCGTGGGACTGGCTTCCTATGATGCAACTCTCCCAGAGCCGCAGGCCAGAGACAGGTTGCCAGAGAGACAGTTCTTCAGAGCTTCACAGGGAAACAGGAGGTTAAGCTCATCCTGAGCTTTCACAAGGAGACGGTGGTTAAGCTCATCCAGAGCCTTCACGAGGAGACAGGTGGTTAAGCTCATCCAGATCTTTCACGAGGAGACAGGTGGTTAAGCTCATCCAGAGCTTTCACGAGGAGACAGGTGGTTAAGCTCATCCAGAGCTTTCACGAAGAGACAGGATTCCTGTGAGGCAGAGACAAGGAAGAATTTGATTCTGATCTCACACTAGAGATAACAAAGAATCTTCTGTAACAGAGGCTCAGGAAGCTAACCAACTAAGATCAACACTGCGGCGTAGAATCCAGGTCTGAAGGTAGCTTAAATACTGTGGTCCTCCTGATTACTAGATCAGCCACAGGTGTGTGAGAGGCTCAGCTTCAGGAGGACCCACGGCGCACTCTGCTGGAGGCAGAGGGTAATCTCCAGAACCTGACAGTGACTCCAGCCCTAAGAGAAAGAGACAAAAGAGAGCAGAAGAGGATCCTCAGCGCCCTCTGGTGGGCAAGCCTGAGGATCCCAACACATTTTAGTGTCGGATCGGGGCCCCGCAGGATACTGGTATTGGTATCAGTGTAACACTACCTCTATTAATTCAAGATTTAGCCTGATAAGATAATGCAGAGTGCTTCATTTTCATTTCTATCATGTGTCCCATATCAGTAACTTTGTTTTTTATAACTTTTAAACATACCGGTAAGTATGTTTTAACAATGTTTCTAATTCAGTATCTAATATGCTATTCTGATAGCTGGATGAAATATCCTTAACCCTGAACGATCCTTTATGTATTTATGGTGATTGAGTTATGTTAAACTTAGACTTATAAAAAAAATAAAGGAGCAGAAACCACAGGACACATAATGAGCTGCATCAACTAGAAAAGGGTTCCTGAATCATTTGTAGTTTGGGCACTTTACTTATCCTGTAGACCAACTCAAAATACATCACATAGACCAAGCAGTCAGGTCATTTTTAACCCAGTATGACATCTTTGACATGCAGTACATGCAAGTCTAATGACCGGTTTTATTGGCCACTGTCAAGTTGCTGACTGATTAAAAGTATATCATGCTCTTTGTTTATCCACAAAGGCTTTTGTAACAGCAATCCCCACATTTACCCACTGCATTTGACCAACATATGAGTGTAAACACACACTGCAAACAAGCAGCTATTAAAGCCATCAGAGGCTGCGGTTAATACAGAAATAATTAAAGGTGCCTGGTACTCAGGGACTCCGGGGGTGAAAATGATAAAAACTAATCTAAACTATTATTAAAGTTTTGTGGAATTACATTAGAACAGAATTTATCATGCATTTAATCTATTACAAAATAATTTTTTTGCTGTGAGTTTTCCTTCATGCTGAAATATAAACTGCATTACAGTGGGGGCAGATCAGTCTGTTTCCGTTTTTGGGAGAAATTAAATGATTTATTAGTCAATGAAGTAGGGTATTAAAAAAAACAAACAGATTGTGTTTGATTAAATCATTTACCCCACATGTACCTGTTTAAAAAGCCAGCATGGTGGTTGTATAATTAAGGTAAAGTCTAGAGAATTCTTCAATGTGTGTGTTGCATGCAAGAATAAGAATAAAGATTGATTAAAGAGGTGGATACACAACGATAATTGGAGAAAATTATATATGAGTTTATTAAAGAGTTCAAGCACAGATTTAACACAAAACTCCAGAAGTTTTAAACAAAGCAATATCTTAGTTTAATTTAAATAATTTAAAGTATTAAAAACCCGCCTATGTAACTGGAGAGGGTATGATCCATCGCTGACATACAGCGATGCTTTAGAGCAGTCTGAGCTCACCTTAAACACAAAAGCTAAACCAAAATAGTTGCTGTAACAATGTACTGTAACAAAACAGTGATTACACAATTCTTATCAGATACATGTCCCCATCTGGTCCAGGATGTATTTTGTCATATTGTAAAACTCAGAGGGAGAATGTTTAGTTTTGGGAGAGAGCAGCGTTGCCAGTGGCTTTCAAGGGCACCAAACCTGGAAACTAGTCTAGTGCCCCTAGTGCAGGGGTGGGCAAACTTTTTGACTTGAGGGCCAGAATGGGTTCTAAAATTTGACAGAAGGGCCGGGCCAGAAGCATTTGGACAAGCAATGTAATTTATTAAACCTGGGGATTGAAATGTATAAAAAAACAGACAATTGAAGGTGCAGATTTAAAGAACTCAACATTTAGTGGAAAAAAAAAAAAATCAATGGAATCACTTTCAACATTCAGAACATATTATTACCCAACAAAAGGAAGGGGTCTTTAAGTTGCTATTTTTTTATGACAAAGAAGAAAAACTCACATTTCAGTGAGAACAGTGTTGTTGTTCTCCTTTTTTTGCCAGTGCATCAAAGTCTGGAGTTAGTTTCGTTGTGGCAATTCTCAGAATAGATCTGAGGTGTTGGTCAGTTAACCGGGATCTGTAACGGGCTTTGTTGATGTTCATGACGCTGAAAGTCTGCTCACACATGTAGGTCGAGCCAAACAATGCCAGCATCTTTTGTGCCGTCCTCCGGAGGTTTGGAAATGTGGCTTCGTTAAGTGAAGCGTAAAAGTCATTCAGTTTAAGAGATCGGAACTTCTCTTTTGAGATGGAGTCAGACTGAAGATCGATCAGTTCCAATTGCAGCTCATGCGGTGCTGTTTCGGGGTCTTGTGACAGGGGACAGGACACCAGCTGAAGTGACTTTTCAATTTTTTCAAAATCAGTGAACCGACGGGAGAATTCTCTGTGCAGGTCGTCCAGTAATTTGCAGTATTTCTTCACGTTTCGGGTGGCCTTCTGCATGGCCAGTGTGGGAAAATGAGCGAAAGATTTGTTTGACATTTGCCTGGAGAATAAAATCAGCTTGGATTTGAAGGCTCTCACATTTGTGTACATATCGTGCACAAACTGATCTTTCCCCTGCAGCTTAACGTTCAGCTCATTCATGTGTGACAATATGTCCACAGCAAACGCAAAGTCACAAAGCCAGTCCTCATCGCTCAGCTCAGGGAATTCGTTGGATTTCCCCATTAGCTCCAAAAACAAACAAATCTCCTCTTTGAGCTCCCACACTCGCTGGCACACTTTCCCCAAACTTAACCAGCGGACACGAGAGTGGTAAAGTAAGTCCTGGTGATCCGCATCAGTTTCCTCTAGGAACGCAATGAACTGACGGTGATTAAGTCCCCTTGCTCGTATGAAGTTAACAAGTTTTACAACTGGATCCACAACATGATTAAGCTGCAATACAGACTTACACAGAGATTCTTGATGAAGGATGCAGTGAAGAAAAATAACATCCTGGTCAGGGTTTTCTTCTTTCACTTTATCTTGGATTCTCCTCAGCAACCCGACGTTTTTTCCAGTTAAATTTGGCGATCCATCCGTGGTGACACCGGCAAGCTTACTCCAAGGCATCTTCATTCTCTCGATGACAGCAGACACCTGTTCATATAAGTCCTCTCCTCGTGTTTTCCCCTTCAGCGATTCCATGCTCAAAAGCTCCTCCGTTATCTCAAAACTGTCATTTATCCCTCGGATAAAAATTAGGAGCTGAGCAGTGTCTTTCATGTCGTTGCTTTCATCCAGTGCTAGTGAAAATAAATTAAAGGACTCCGCTTTTTTGTTTAACTCGCTGACTATATGTTCGTCAATCAGTTCCACACGCCGAGTCACTGTCCTGCGTGACAAGCTGATTTTTTCAAACTTGCCTTTGCTTTCCGGACACAAGAGATCTGCTGTGTCTACCATGCATTCTTTCAAAAACTCGCCTTCGGATAAAGGCTTGCTAGCGTTTGCTAACTTGAATGCCAGCAAAAAACTTGCCTTGGTACTTGACTCCTGGATCGCAGTTTGTCGGTGAAAAAAATTCTGCTGAGTCTGTAAATTAGCTGCCAACCTCTGAGCAGTAGCCGCCCGTTCTTGTGTTGACAGCTTGCTAGCGTAGTTAGCATGCTTTGTGGCAAAGTGACGGCTGATATTGTACTCTTTAAAAACTGCGACCGTTTCTTGGCATATCAGACATACAGCCGTTGATCGGACATCAGTAAAAAAATATTTTGTTGTCCACTCCTTTTTAAACACTCGGCACTCAGTGTCCACTTTTCTTTTCTTTGGTCCGCTCATGTTTAATGTCAGCTGGAAAGTGTGTCTAG